GAAATGTTCTCCGCGGATTGAGACAGCCGTGCAGTTTTTTCCTAAGCGTGCCCAGGCTTCCCTAGAAATGTGGCATCCGGTTTCCGGTTAGAGACAAAATGGTCTAATAGTACAGAGCCCCTCATTCTCCATATGAGTCTATGTGTGGTGATCGTCCCGATGTCCTGAGTGGGTCGCCTTAGTACGTTCGTGGATGACTCGGTAGTTGTACTCGTCGCTGGACGAGCCCCCGTCGTCTTCGAACGCTGGCAAGTTCTGCCACTTCAAGGCGATGAATTTCAAGCCGACATGATTGCTGTGGGCAATCGTATATTTCTCCGAAGTGGTGGCCACTCCTTTGTCAGCTACTGAAATCTGTGCAGTTTCATTGCCTCCAGCTTTAAAAGCAGTGTGAGCGCATGCAACTCGATACATTGCCCCAACGATCACCTCTTGTTGTCCTTTTCCCTTCTCTTGAAGTATCCATCAATTCCTTGGCCGCCCACTCTGGAAAGGTGTCGCTTTTAGCGATTTCTCTGCCAAGATAGAAGGCTCCAAAGGTGGGAACGTCACATCTGCTGAGGTTGCTATTGAACGACCAGTTAGCCGGTCTGATTTTTCCTTCCAGCAAGATGGCTTGAGCGGTTTCGATGGGGGTGCCGTGGAGGAGTGAATCGAGAGATCTCAGGAAGTGGGAGAATCAACGCCAGCATATTCGTCGATGGTAAATCGATGATTGCTCAAAGTCAAACAAGGAGAGGAGGTTGGTGCTGGAAATCAAACGGATCGCTTTTCTGGCGACCTCTGTGGGGATTTTGGAATCAATTCTTTGCAGAGTGGCCACAGCTCGTTGAAAATCTTCGATGTTGACGGTCTTGCTTGGCTGTGGCTGGTCGGCATATGACATCTCCGATGCCGCTTTCATTCGATCTTTGTGACGGAGACCGAACTTGACAGCCCTGATTCATTCTGCTTTTGATCCATCCCGGAGATTGATGAGCATGTGTCCTGTGGGTATGGACACTGAGATTTGAGATTGATCATCTCCAGAAGTGTCAGGCTTACTTTTCTTGTGGCGTGGAGGTGCTGACTTGGAGGTGGAGAATGCTGTGAGTGGTTTGGTGGCAGAGTCGTGGGAGGAGGTGGCATAGCGATTGGAAGGCTTCTTGGGATCATCCCATGTAGATTGACGCATGGAAGAGGGATTCTTGGAGTAGTTCTTCCACTTGCCTCACGATTGCCACTTGTTACTGGAAGACTGCTCAGGATCATCCGTTGGGTTGCTGTACCCGGTGGAATGTTGGCTTTTCCACCAAGAAGAAGCCTGAAGAGTTGGCGTATTGGAGGAGTAGTCATGTGGTTGATGTTACTCCTCAACGGGTTGTCGATCACCTCGACGTGGAGGTGAAGCAGACCTGAGAGTGATGGACCTCTCACGATCTTTGCGAGGAGACTCGTGCTGGGGACGAGTTGGGCTTCTGGAGCAGGAGCGATTCCTCGATGAGCGCCTGGGACGTCTTGATGAACGTCTTCGTCTTGGACTGCGGCGGGTGGAGACTGGTCGTTTGTCAGGTCTCCGTGTGGGAGATCCATGATGATGAGAACGGGATCGTCGAGAGGATCGTTGTCGAGGTGGTGGATGTTGTAAACTTGAAGGATGATGGCTGGTGGGATGTGAAGACGTGGCGCCTGGAAGGCTTGGTGGTGGAGTAGGATGGACTTGACGTTCTTGAGTCTTTTCCACCATTGCTTGAATACTGGGTTCCACTGTGGACTTCATCTGTTGGAGCATCTCATCACGATTGAACGTCGTGGAAGATCCAGGTTGATTGGCTGGGGTGGCCGTAGGTGCCGGTGGATCTGGTGCCTGTGGCACTGGTGTTTGTGGTGTTGATTGGAATGCTGCTGACGTGGGTGGAAATGGTTGTGGAGGTTGGTGGAATGGAATAAGCTGTTGGAGATGGTTGATATGAGATTGAGCTTGTGTGTGGAGGTGTTGATTCAACATCGCATTCTGTTGTTGAAGTGCTGAGATCTACACCTGAGCCTGAGCTTGAGACTGTTGACCTATTGGATCACCTCCACAAAATTGACCATGAAGTCCCATCGACTGAGGGTTCCATCCAAAGTTCCACATAGACTCAGGAATGTTGGGAAGGCGTCCCGGGAACATGGCACCAGTGTCAGGTTTGTTAGATTAAAATGATTAAAACAGAAGAAACAATTCACAAATTATACATCCACACGAACGTGCAAGTTTCCCCTTGTTTCAGGCTCAAAGGCCACAATTTCACGTCAACCCCATAGACGGCTGTCAGTGTTCAAATGAATTACGTGCACAATTGAACCGTACCAACGACCAAAAAGGAAAAAACACCATACCTGCAAGCATGGCCTGTGCCTGGAATCCTCATGTTGCAATTGTCTGTCAAACTCTCGAGCAGCAGTTAAAGTTAAAAGGAATGTTGGCGCAGCTTCAGTCTACCAACCCCTGAGATTCAGACAAAATGGTGACGCCAGGTACGGCGGCAAGCTGTTTCAACCAACACTCACTCGACCGATCGGTGAGAAGCTGAAAAATGAACGACTGTTTCACTTTACTTAAACGAATTACTAAATTAAAATGTGTAAATTCAGACGTCGGGTCGTTGCATCCACATTCTGCTTAGAAAAGCATTCCCCGAAGGGTTCATGCCACCTTGACGAATCCAGCATGAATCACACACTTGCTCAGAACAGTCATTGCGAATTTTGATGTGGAATGTATCTTACGTGCAAAAACACTCCAATTATACCTGACAGGAATGGGTCGGTGAAATGACCCGAGAAACATCGAAAAGGAATCATCGCCATGTCCAGTGCTAAAAGAAATTAGTTGACAGATTGCGACAACAGTGCAGCGAAACAGTAAAAACAGAAACCAATTGTTCGACGTGCCGGTTCTTGGCTTAGCCGGTTGCCATTGACGATAAATTGGAAATTTGCAGGTACACGGAGGTGATCAACCTCCGCTTCTCCCATTGTGGAATAGCTCCGTTGGCACAGGTATCCACAATGGGCCTGTGCCCCCTGCTTGAAATGAAATGAAATGATGCCGACAAAAATCAGGGAAGTTTAACACCCTTTCCCGTGCCAGAAGTAAAATGAAGAAGGAACAGGTAAAATCGGAAGTAGAAGTTTTACATCTTTTCAGATGGTTCACACACACAGAGACCATCCACTGTAGATGGCGCAACTCACTTTGGGAGACATAAAATACACACAGCCAGCTGTAAATAACACAGTTCATAAGGTCAAACAATTCAGCCCAATCATATGCACTTGCACACAAACCCACTATGCACTGTAGATGGCGCCATCAACTTTTTTGTTGCGCCATCTATGCTGTGCAAGGTCTGTGTGTGTGGACACACACAAACCTTTCCCCTTTCCCTTTCCCTATGGAACGCAATGGTAACCTATAGATGGCACAATCCAAAGCTATGGTTTTCCAAGAAAAAATGGACCCCGAATTCATTGCAATATATTGCAATGTTAAATTAGATAAAATTTGAGGAAAACAAGTTGCTGTCAACCACATGTGTTGGGAACCTATAGGTGGCGCAAAACTCTCATCCCCCAAGTGGTCTATAGATGGCTCAATTCAAGAATTCTTGCCATCTACTTCTTTTCCGATATGTGCAGTCAGCACTATCCAGCTCTGGCTGTCAGTTTTCCAGCCCGGGAATGTCTGACGCTTCGCCGCAAGCGAAGGCGTGACACTCGAGCGAACGCACTGTTTTTTTCGGGCAAATCGTGATTTTGTTTACGAAGCCCGGAGGCTCCAAACAGAGTTGTAGCATATAGAGACGACGAAAAGTGACGCCGTTGCTCTTAGTGTGCTGGCTTGCCAGGGGTTGACGACGTAAAGTGCACGCCTGATACAGACACATTACAGACACCTGATGCAGTCCCAGTTGATCTCCCGCATCAGTTGACACCTGTTGCCTTCAGGTTTGTCCACTGCTTCCTCACCGCCTGGAGGACCTCATTTCTGCCATCTGCAAGATGTTACGGCAGAGTTGTGCAGCGTTGGACATCGAAGCCCTTGAGCCCAGTATCAGCATAATATACCCGCAATGTAACCTGTATGTTTATATATGTTTTTGATTTTGAAGGATTTCTGTGGGTTTCTGGTTTCTTTCGGCTGTTCATGGCTGTTCGGAGATGTGTTTTGGGCGTGTGAAGTGGAAAAGTTGCTGTGGATCTGAGACAAACATGGTAACAGCATCTGTAAGAGGCCGTGTCGGTGATGACATCACACAGTGCCAGGACGATGAGGGAAGTGTCCGAAACTGTAGTAATTCATACATGCTTATATTTCTGGAATAAATTGGTGCAAATCCCTTGGAAGGGTCACTTCAAAAGTGGAAAATCTAGTGTTTTACACACACGAAACAGGAGTTTTGTTCGTCGAGGGTTTCGCCGAAAAGTTCTGAGAACTGCAACATGCAGTGACAAACATATAGTGAATCCCACCTTTTAGGGTCGGAGGGTGGGAAACTGAGGTTGAAAAACTGCAGTCTGGCCCAAATGTAGGGCCAGCTGGCGTGACTTTTGTTTTGCGGGTTTGACTCGCGTGCGGCATGGCGATTTGCCTGCGGCTGATGAGGTGCGAGCGCTGCAAGACATAGCAGCTGCAGCTAGATTGCTGCAGACCACCCACGTTGTGAGACGCCTTCACGGAGCAGGTGGGGAACCCAGGTCAAGATCTTTGGGTACTAGCTGCCCTACCTGTTCATGTTGTAGTACATGCCATAGGCCAAGCTCAGCTGGCGGGACATGGACTTTCTGCAGTAGAAGCCGCACATGTGGGGCTGATGTGGCGGGTCTCAAGGTTTCACTTGTACCTCCTCAAGGGAGGAGCAGCTGAGAACTTTGTAGACGTAGATCCATGGGAGCCAGACCAATCAAATTGACCGCAAGGTGGAGTACCTCCCCAGGGATCAAAAAGCAGTGGCTTGAAAGAGAAAGTTCTCAAGATGGCGAACCTGCTGGATCAGACAGATGATTCGGAGCTGATGCCGCTGGACGTGCAAACAGTGCATGCTTGGAGTCAACGGTATCTGCAACTGATGGGTGACATGCCAAAAGAGGAGGAAGAGCCAACGGATGCACAGATGGCAGCACTGGACAAAAGGGTGAATCAAATGGGTCAAGCCCCTTACGTTGATATGGGGGTTTGGTTACCGTTTGGAAGGAGGGCTTTGAAAAATCAGAAGCTACGTTCATTTTTCCCTATGGGGATGGAAATTACGTGGCAAGAGATTTTCCAGGACCCCAGAACTTCTTGCAGTGGCAGGCTTCAAAGAAAGTGTTCAGGGTGGCTGCAATCAGTTTGGACATTTGTTCATTGGCCTCCCTCATGACCTACGAGAAGGTGATCGAGAGGCTGACAGTGCAGTGGCCTAAGAATTGGAACCTGATTGCCCATGCGGATGACAAAGCGAGAGCTGAGATGTTGGAACGTCTGAGACGCAATCTTGTCATCTACCTCAAGGATGGCAAGCGGGTGCCCGCGGACTTCAAGGAGGACAAGCCGTGGTCAGTTTGCTTCAGACTTCTTGCACAAGATGAAGTCTACTGGAGCGCACGTAAACCCAGGGGAACAAAAGGGCTACATGGGAGCGGCGTATCAAATTGCATCGTCGACAGTGGGCCTAGTGAAAGCCATGAGCGAGCTGAAGGGCAACTTCTGGGCGGTGCCATCCAGGTCTTCAAGGGAGATCAAGAGGAACGAGGTGCTGAAGCTGGCGAGCATGGTGGCAGGACACGGCAGAGACCCACTACCACTATCGCAAGAGACGGTGGAAGGGGTGGCAGCCTGCCTCAAAGGTTCGGGCATGAGGTCCGGAGATCAGTATCTCAACGAGCTGAAGCTGTTACACATCGAGGAAGGATACGACATGCCTCCTTGGTTGGTGAGAACTTTCACTTTGTGCAAGAAAGCCCTTTGTAGAAACAAGGGGCCAACAAAGAAAGCTGCGGAAGCCAAGTTGGAGAACATCTCTGATGACCTATGGCAAGAAAAAGGGTCGGAGTTCAAGGGTGGCATCAACTTTGCAGTGATGTATGCATGGGCCTGCGTTTGGATGCTGAGAGAAATAAAAGCAGGAGCTTGCAAATGGGAACATGTGCGTGCTGACGAACAACAGAAACAAATTACTCTTTCGATACCTATGTCAAAGATGGATCAAATGGCAACGGGAGTGAAAAGAACGCTGCAATGCTGTGGAGAGGTAGTTTGTTCCAGGTTCTGCGCATGGAATTTGTGGAGCAGAATGCAAAAGGAGCTCCCAAGCAAGTTCAAGAAGAAGGGCTTCGTGTTCATCAACGAGAAGATGGAACGTTTGAGCAAAAGCAAGATGATTGAAGCTTGGAACTCAGCGACTAGTTGCAGGGTATCTGGACACTCAGCACGCAGAAGTGGTGCCGTGGAACATGTCAGGAGGGGAATGCAAATCCAAGAGCTGGCTTTCTTGGGTAGGTAGCGATCGGCGGTGGTGTTGACCAGCCAACAAGGGTGTCATGGTGGACAGAAGCGCTCTGGAATGGGAGCACAAAAGGTCACCATGGACGCCCACACCAAGTGCGCAAACTCCAAGCGTACGTGCACCCATGACTCCTATGGCGAGTGTCCAACATGAACCTCCTGAAGGTGAAGTGATTTGCGGATTGGAGAAAAGCGCTTCATCAAGACAGTCCTTGTGGGTGGCGTCAAATGAGATGAGAAAAGGTAAAAAGACTTGGCACCGAGTCACCAAGGCCGGATGGAAAGTACCCATGGCGGAATGGGGGAGTGCATGTGGCTGGAACTTCACCAAGAACCCTGATAGAGTGTCGATGGCGGTGGCGCTTCTTTTTGGTCAAACGAGATGTCAGAAATGCCCAGAAGTAATGAAAGCCCGCGACAGAGTCAGAGAAGGGCATGTGCTGGCAGACTTCATACAAAAAGAGTCTGGCACAATGTTTGGCCAATGAAACAGGTCAATGAAGCCACAGACAGCTCAGATCGAGCTGCAGCACCAAGCCAAAAGAAACGCGCTATATCTGGAGGGAGGGTGGGAAGTGAAAGAAAGCCTTGCGATGAACGAATGTTTGAGAACTGCAACATGCAGTGACAAACATATAGTGAATCCCCCTTTTAGGGTTGGAGGGTGGGAAACTGAGGTTGAAAAATTGGCCCAAATGTAGGGCCAGCTGGTGTGACTTTTGTTTTCCCATCCCTTTGACAATGCCCACCCCAAAAGTCACGGAAGCATGTGCTGGCAGGCTTCATACAAAAAGAGTCCGGCACAATGTTTGACCAATGAAACAGGTCAATGAAGCCACAGACAGCTCAGATCGAGCTGCAGCACCAAGCCAAAAGAAACGTGCTGTATCTGGAGGGAGGGTGGGAAGTGAAAGCCTAGCGATGAACGAATGTTCTTTTTTCCTTTCAAGCACAAAGTTGTCCCAGGTTGTTCAGGACATTGCCTTTGACGCTCTTGCGCCAGACTGCAGCATACAAGTGCTTCCAATTTTTTCTGAAGTCTTGTCTGCAGTCTTCATGTGTATTCAACTGCCGGGGAATCGTGTTTTTAACCAATCCCACTGTCTGTCTAAAGTCTGTGTTCCGGCCAAAGAAGAACTCTTTTTCGTGGGCTTCCTCCCAAGTGCTTCACAAACTCACCACTGTTGCGGGCAAAGTTTTGCCATTTGAGGCGTTTTTCTGGCACTTGTTGTTTGGAGGCTCCTTTCCAAGCTTTGCAACCATCAGCATAGCAAGCTGTTCTGGCTCGCAGCATGACGTATGTGTGGAAGTGCAAGAGAACGTGCAGCAGCGTAGCATGACGTATGTGTGGAAGTGCAAGAGAACGTGTAGCAGCGTAGCATGACGTATGCGTGGACGTGCACGAGAATGTGCAGCAGCGTAGCATGACGTATGTGTGGAAGTGCAAGAGAACGTGCAGCAGCATAGCAAGACGTACGTGTGGAAGTGCAAGAGAACGTGCAGCAGCGTAGCATGACGTATGTGTGGAAGTGCAAGATAACGTGCGGCAGCGTAGCATGACGTATGTGTGGAAGTGCAAGAGAACGTACTGCGTGGTTGCAGTCGCAATGAACGTTAACATCCCACCCCACTCCACCCCAACCCCCCATCCACTCCCACACCCAAAATATCCACACGCGCATGGCCTCTTATTGGTGTTGACACCACAAACATGAATGCCATGAATGCCTCTTATGTGGCTGCACGCTTGTCCTGAATCATCTCATCACACTACGTCATACTCCTGGACCTTCAAACGTAGCTGAAATGTGTGTGTGTGGATTATCTGGACAGATGTAAAACTTCTACTTCAGTTCGTTTTGTTATTCAGAAAAGCAGGGGGCCAGGAACCCATGACTGTCTGTCCTGGCCAACGAAGACCAGACAGCATGGGGGTGCAAACGTACCTGCAATTTTTATTTTCCGACCGACATGGCACGGGGCTAAGCCGAGAACCCCTCCACGGCTTATTTGGTTTCTTCATGGTTTCCGCCAGTTTCCGCAATCTGTTTCTTCGAACTTGGCGATATTCTGTTTGAACTTGGCGCTATTCTATGTTTTCATTCTATGTATTCATTTTATTTCATCGACATGGCAAAGGGCTAAGCCGAGAACCCTGAACATTGACAAGGTCCTCGACGAGAATCTGGTTTTATTTGAATTCGACATTACCTATTCTACTATATTCTACTTTCTTGGAGCCTCAACCTTGTCTTTGTCTCGATGATCGGCTTTCCACCCTGGTTATTCTATATATGTTATTCCTCGGTCTACCGCGCGCGTTAAGAGTCTTGTTTAAATGCACGTTTTGGGATTCAGTTCCCGACGGATCACTACAATGATCCAGTTCTTGTCTAATGTGATTTCCATGGTGACCCGACATGGTGCCATGGACCCATTTGAGGGAATCTTTCTTAAGGTGAATGCGGACCGATTTGACGTCTGAATTTAATTGAATTTACACATTTTATCTGGTAATTCGTTTCAGTATAGTGAAACACTCGGCCATTCCGTTCTTCACTTTTTTGCGATGTCCCGCTGCTCCTGTCGTCTATGTGAACCTCGGTAATTTCACCTTTGCGAGCGTGAAGCCGTTCCGAACAGCCACAAACCTCTTTTCTCGCTGATGCTCAAGCTTCTGATGCAACATGCAGCATGAAGGATGTTCCAGGTAGGTACATGCCTTCCAGGTGTGGTGATTTCTTTCTTTTGGTTGTTTTCTGGTGAGGTCAAACATGCTGTGCACCTAATTCACTTGAACTTGAACAGCTGTTTGATGCCCATTCGTGGGTTGACCAACTACCGTCCCTTTGAGGGAACAACGCGCGACTCTTTAGGTTTGAGCTGAATACTATTTGACTGTGTGAACCTTGTTATATTTTGATCGCTTTCGCCATGCGCCTTCGTCCAACCATGTGGTCCTGGCCTACTGCGCCCCCGTCCTGGCCGGCACCCCCGACGTCGAGCCCTACGGCACCGTCGCCTGCATCACCATCGCCCTGGAGTACTCCGCAGATCTTCCCACCGCACAGCCCACCTTTCACTGGCCCAGCCACCTTCAATGACGATGCCATCAACGCCTACGGCTACCATTTCTCATTGCCCACCTGAACACACTTTTGGACAGCCTGCCGACCTGCATCTCTACTGGACGAACCGACAACCAACACCAACCGTTCCTCTTCCGACACCGACAGCCACATCCTGTACCTGTTCTACCACATCCACTGACACCGCAACCTCCTCAGCCTTCTCAGGGCCTATGGACCCACATGCCACCCAACAATCCACAGAATTTGACACCTACACCTACACCTACACCTTCTTACACACCTCCACATCAAGGACTTCCAGCTGGACCTCTTCCATTTGTCCAACCTGGTGCATGCGCAGGCATTCTTCATCAAGTTCCACCTCAACCTACGATGCCTACTACGCCACCAACATCCAATGTCACTCCACAGCAGACACAACCTGCGAGACCAAAACCTGCAGCAAGAAAGTTTGCTCCAGAAAAACACCTTCATTGCGACGACCACTAATCCGAGCAACCGCACCCGATTTTGAAGATCGAATACAGCGCCAAGTCGACTCACGAATGGATCAACTGCAATCCAAGACCCGAGAAATGCTGGACAACATCACCAAGTCGCTTCAACAGCCTACATCGTCAGTCCCAGCTCCTCAACCCGCTCAACAATCCGCCCAATAACCACCTATGGCCGTCCCGGGTGATCTTGAACCTTCTCGAGGTCCACAACCCGCTGTTCTACACGTACCACCTCACCTACGTCTTCCCCCTTCGCCACCACCGCCATCGCGATCCGGACCACGACGAGCTCGCCGACGATCCAGGACCCGTACGTTCACCTTCACGTCATCGATCTCACCGACATCGATCCACGGCCCCGAAAACCTCTACCTCGACAACGTTCCACACCTCACCATCCCAAAGAACGTCGCACCCCGTCTCCCCACCGTCACCGATCACCTCCTCGCGTACGTTCTCGACACCCTCGAGACCGCCATGACCGAGCACCAATCAAAATTCGCAGCCGTTCCCGAAACCGCCAGGCAATCACCCTTCGGCCTCGACAACCTGACCCGCATGCCCGCATGATTCAGCTCCATCCCAGAACACTCAAGATCAAGCCCCGAACATGGATGAAAATGGGGAACATGGCGCCCACCGACCAGTGTCACCTCGACAAGGCCACGTCTCAGAACGCATCCCTGGAGGATCGACAGACGAAAGCGGCAACGAAGACGACAATCCTATTCCCATTGGTGACTTCAACAAATCAACCAGCTGGCTCGTCGACGACATGGACGCGGACAGAGACCCCGACCGCATCAAATGTGCCAGTGAGCTTCCAATTACCCACACCTGGAACCTCAGAACTACTATGACCAACTCAGAACACCGCAAATTCAAAGAATTTATTGATGCTATGTTCCATCAACTCTCCATTACCTTACATTACATCCACCAAAGCCACTGTCTATATGAAAGCGGATCCAGAAATGGAAGGCAACATCGCAAAATGCTTCGCCAAAGCTGGTCGTTTGGATATTGAGTTGGCCAAACGCACGAAAGGATACTTCATCGAGACCCATAACCTCCTCACTATTACAACACCTACTGGCCTGCCGGAGAAACCAGCCTTCCGCAACGACTATAGTGCAACATACCCTATCTATCACCGCGCAGATTGGGAGGCCGTGGCAAAAATCTTGGTCAAAGATGTTATCAGACCGGCTGGATGGAGTCGAAACGAAGAAAACATCCCTGACCAGTACCCTTCCTTTGGCTTCTTTGGTTTCTGTTCGGAAATTGGTGATTCAAGCCAACTAACTGACTGGACCACCGGATCGGAAAGGGCCAGCTTCCGGCAGGCTTAATTGCCAATTGTCGCGCTCCGAAGATTAAGAAGCACTTGGCAGGGGGCAATGATCAGCTGCAACGGGTTTGCCGCTTGGGAGGAATCGCAAAAGGAATCATGGCGCTACTGCTACCAACTCCTCTTATGCCACAGTGGCTTTTGTTGCTGGAACTCACCAGGTTGCCACTTCTATGATCACACTCGCCCGATCCTCAGCAGAGCTACACTGATGACACCCGTCACAAACGACGCTCTTGATCTACCTGTACACTACTGGATTGGTTTGGACATCCCTTCGCGTCGCACCTGTTTTGGAGTAACAATACCTCTCCCGCCTGGTGACGCTACCGCTTCGAGCATCTTCCGCAAAAACAATGACCTGCAGAGTTTATCGCTGTTGCGTCACCATTCATACAGTTAAGCCGACTGATATGGCAAGGGGCTAGGCCAAGGACCCTACTATGTCAATTTATTCTTATTATTTATTACTATTATTATTACTTGTATTTTTTCCGAACATGACGACTGATGTGGCTGAGGCTAAGCCAAGCACCCCTTTACCGCTGCAGACCTCCGCATCCGTATATTGGTTCCGTGAGTTCGAATGCTATCATTCCCCCGCTGACCAGCTACATCATGGTGTCCCAAGACCAGATCTCGCAGTTCTCACGGATGATTCCTCCATCTCAGCCGGATTGATCGCTCTCTCGAACCCCAAGACGTGATCCCGGCGACTGGCCAACCTCTTCAATGCCAACGTTTCGAGGACCTATCCACCACGCCATGGCTACATCACGACCGATGTGGAGCAAATCCCCGATATGGCCTACGCATCAACGTCCGAATGGCTTCCAAACTTACAACACTGGTTCACAACCATCGATGTTTTCCACGTTCCCACCTCAACCGCCTTTACATCCTCCACCTCCACCTCCAGGCTGCCCCACTACACCGCACCGATTTTGCACTACCACTCCGAAATCACCTTCTGGACTTTGGCCACCTCAGACAACATCTCCGGTCAGTTGTGGATACACCATCAGACCTTGTGAAATTCCACCGGTCGATACATGGAAACCGGACCCTGAATTCCACGACACCAGCAAGGTCAATGGCTTGGACTTTCCAGCGACCGTCCGATCAAGCAAGTTCACCCACTACAAAGACATTGAATCCATGGAACCGCTCCAGGTTCCTCTTTGGAAATTCCTGCGTCAGGGCTTGCACAACAAGTGGCTACGACGAATTGCCCATGGCCGCGAAACCTATGTCATCCCGTTTGACAATATTGGAACTAACTACGGTATTCGTTGCAGAGCTCGTCAGCCAACTCTCGAAACATCGACCTTGATCGCCTTGCAGCTTACCGATCACGAAACCAGGGAACCAACCTCAACAGAAGGAAGCCACTCAGCAGATGGCGAGGGACATAGCCCAACACATTCAATCCTGGCTTCCCACTACACCGGCAACTGACCTGATGTGACTTTCTGAATCGCCGCCGTGCCATGGGGATGATGTGACTTTTCCTGCATGATGTGACTTGGGCCCGGCGCTCGTACCAGCCAACAACGAATCTTGGAATTGGAGACAGAACTCGCCAAGGTGAAGGCTACTCAGGGTGATACCTCCTCACCCCCAGACCCGCCAGGCACTTCAATCCAACGAGCACTACATGGAAATTCCTCCTCAGTACCATCGTTCGGCCCGGCGGTCCTCCTGGTCACCCCTGGTACGGTCAATCCATGGCTTGAAGAGAACCAACCTCCTTCTTTGTCGGACACATGCTACAAGAAATGGGTGAAGGAGCTCAAACTCCCTCAACACAGCTGAAACCTTGGAGAGGAACATCGAGAAGGTGATGCAATGGTGGTCGAACCAACCTGACACAGCATCGAGGACTGTTCAACGAGTCAGTGTAGCGATGGGCCTGGATCCGCAGAAACTGAGGTCATTCACTACGGACGAGTTGGTCATCAAGGTCATGACGGCTGCGCTGACAGTGAGCTCGTGACTAGCTTCCTTTTTGAGATCCAAAGGCTCCACTGCCAAACAAGTTTTGAAGGATCTCAGCGTTGCGCGCTCGTGTATTCTGAGCTTGGCTCTGCTGACTCCGTTTACACTTTCCCCGAGTAATGTTTCGTCCTGATTAGTGTACGGCCCCCCCTCAAACAATACCTATACCCCTCTTTAAAGTTGGGTGCCAAAAAGTTGTTTCCCAGAAAAAATTGTTCTTTACTAAGGGTTTAATCAGCGGTCTGATTCTTTGGGGACATGGAGAAAAGCAAGTTTTTTTCAGAAAAACTGTTCAGATTCTTTTACACAAACATTTTTTGGACAAAAAAAATTGTCTCCCCAAGATTTCTTGCCACAATAGTGAACCTTCCAAACAATACATGGGCTCAGAATAATTTGGAAAATTCTTGCCACAATAGCGAACCTAGCCACTAAACAGTTTGTTTTTCTTCATCCTAGCGGCAATGCCAAACTTCGGGCCCTCCTTCAAGGAACATTCTTACATCGATTATTTCTGTGCGGTTCGCGGACTGATGTGTTTTCCCTTCTTTCGTGCTTTCGTGATGATCAAGCTGTCTGTTTACATCATGTTCTCCCATATTCAGAACTTTCAACCCAAATTTTACATTGGGTCAACTTCGTCTTTCGTACTGGACCGGGAACATTCCCGGTACAGAAAACTCCTGCAAGTGCAACAGAACAAATTCGTTTTGGCCGAAGTCGCCTTACGCTTCTGGAACCGAGTCGGCAATTTCTGGCTTTGGTCCATCCTCCTACTCTCTTATCTTTCTTCCTTAGTCTGTGGAGGTTGCAGCGGACGATCATTGGGTGTCGGTCCGTCTCTTGCTGGCCTGGCCGGTGCGGCTCGTTCCGTCTTGAAACTTGTGATGAAAGCACCGATATGATCAGAATCGGAAAGCTTGGCCGTCACGTGTTAGATATATTATATAGTGATGTCGTGTCCAAATAACTCGATCACTGTCATTTTGATGTCTTTGTTGCCAGTAATACTGGTGGTGTGCGATATGCATGGCCATGTGCCCAGCAATGTGTTGAAATGTTCGACGACTTGCCTCGACTCAAAAATCAAAGCATCATGGGTTTCAAATGGTTTCAATCCATTGGGTTTCATGGGAAACATTAGTTTGACACATCATACAGTAGAAATGAATGGAAATGATAGCTAAAACTTGGCCACACACTGTTATTTTTTCCGGCCGCCGAAGCTCATCAAGTTGTGGGACACACACATCCGGACCCGGTTCAGCCCGTGCAAGTTCTAAGGTCATGAGTCACCAGTGTCATTTTTTGACTTGTTCAGCCAAAATGTTTGCCACTTCAATTGACCTAAGCTGCCAGGACCGCATATCTATGAGTGACGGATCAGCATGGGAGGCTGCCAGAGCAAAAATGATTCCTACCGGGGGTTCGCGCAGACTTTAGCTGGAATTCATTTTAAATTCTTCGCAAACGAAGTGAAATTTGATTTATTGCTGGGCCCTGGCACCTTTGGCTCAAGACACCTCTTTTGCTACCAGCGTTACCTGAAGGAGCAGGCGAAGTCCGGCCCTTGGACAATGACAGGCATGAAGCTGCATTTTTTTCTGTGTTCAGTATCCATGTTTGTACAAAGTGCTGAAATATGACATAATGACGCAATGTTTAATTTGTCCTTATTCATGATGCAAAGGTGGTGTTGGTCAAAGGGTTGGATTGTGGGATTCAGTCGGAAAAGGTTTGTAAAAAAACCACCTGGCTCTACAAGTCCAAGGTCTTGCTGGACTTCATGGTTTTCCGGAACTTACCAGTTTTGCTTGGACCCTATACGGCTATGACAGTTGTGCGGGGAGTAAAGTTTTTTCAGGTCATTTATATAGTTAGATCCTGGCGACCGAAGTGTCGCGCCTTCAGCTGTTTCTTCAGGTGGGGCTGCGTGCTTTGCGCCAGCGAGGACATTTTCAATTTAGACGAAGCGTGCAAAGTAGGAGGACCGGACAAACTGCTGCCGTTCCACGTGTGCTTTGTCAATTTCTGAGAATGGCATGCTGTCACTTGTTTGGTGCGCTAGGTGACGAATGCTACCTTTCCTTGCGCCAGTTGCGAGGGGAACGAAGTGAGGCAGAAATTCGGCATCACAGCTGCTCGATTGCAACAGTTTCAAGTTTGGGCAAGAAACTGCTTTGGACTAGATGTGGAGAGGGATGGGAGCCTTTTGTTCCGAGGCCGGATCTACCGTGACTTGGACTACCCCTTGGCGAAGGATGATGCAAGCGCACAGACATGGCCAATGACCGAAGCAGCTAGTGGCTTTTGTGCTTACCCAAGCGAGCGAAGCGATCCTCGATTGGGATCTGAACGTCTAGGCAGTAGCCCTGAAGATGTTGCAGAAGTGTGCGCAATGGCGCGAAAGTACGAAGGACACATGGCCGAAATAGGCACCGAATGCGCTACTGAAGATACATGTGGAAAGTGCCATGGTGTGTGGTGCAGAGGAAAAATATCCGCACTTGCACAAACTGCCCAGGGAAATCTCCTGGCACAGCAGAGGGAGGACCCAGCACCGTTTCCATTGGCGCATGAGAACGAGACTCTTCAAACATGGCCCATGACTGACGCAGCAGATGGATTCTGTGCCTATCCAAGTGAGCGCAGTGACCCCACTCTGGGTGCCGAACGTTTGGGTGCCGCACCCTCTAGCCCAGAAGAGGTCCAGAAAGTGTGCGAGATGGCTAGAAAGTACGAGGGCCACAGAGCAGAGGTTGGCTCCGAGTGTGCGAAGGAAGCATCCTGCTCTGGATGCAATGGTGTTTGGTGCAAGGGAATCATGAAATCTTTGATTCAGAACTCGAACACTGCTGCGCAGCAGAAGGAGGACCCAGCACCGTTTCCATTGGCGCATGAGAACGAGACTCTTCAAACATGGCCCATGACTGACGCAGCAGATGGATTCTGTGCCTATCCAAGTGAGCGCAGTGACCCCACTCTGGGTGCCGAACGTTTGGGTGCCGCACCCTCTAGCCCAGAAGAGGTCCAGAAAGTGTGCGAGATGGCTAGAAAGTACGAGGGCCACAGAGCAGAGGTTGGCTCCGAGTGTGCGAAGGAAGCATCCTGCTCTGGATGCAATGGTGTTTGGTGCAAAGGAATCATGAAATCTTTGATTCAGAACTCGAACACTGCTGCGCAGCAGAAGGAGGACCCAGCATTGTTTCCATTGGCGCATGAGAACGAGACTCTTCAAACATGGCCCATGACTGACGCAGCAGATGGATTCTGCGCCTATCCAAGTGAGCGCAGTGACCCCACTCTGGGTGCCGAACGTTTGGGTGCCGCACCCTCTAGCCCAGAAGAGGTCCAGAAAGTGTGCGAGATGGCTAGAAAGTATGAGGGCCACAGAGCAGAGGTTGGCTCCGAGTGTGCGAAGGAAGCATCCTGCTCTGGATGCAATGGTGTTTGGTGCAAGGGAATCATGAAATCTTAGATCTCTTTATACGGTGGCAAATCAGCTGTCAAAAAGTGGGTTTGCCACGCATTGCTGTCCATACATATACATACATTTACTGTATCATGGTGTGATTTCGGGTATAACTATGCCTTGATGTGATGTTTACACCTCCTGTCAGCTTGTGGTGAGATAACCATTTGCTTCGCTGGGTACCTTTGTGGTTCAGGCGATTCGAGGAGGGTAGGGCTGTGGATCTAGGTCGTTGGACGGCCATGGAGCCTTGAGTGTGTCCAAAAGGGGGCGCTGCGTGATTTGGTGGTGCAGGGCATCCACTTACCTTATTTCATTTGGCAGGGCCATTTCAACATTTGGATTCATTTGGAACTGACAGGGTCAGCTTTTCTATTTTGGTGAATTCCTCCGCTACCAGCTGTGTCATTCACACTGGTAGCGGAGCCTCGAGCTCCAGCTACTTTGGCCTAGCTGTAAGAGTGGACGATCCAGGGAGGTCGGCAATCCTTTCAGTTTTTGACTTTGGCACCATGCCTCCTGCCGCAAGTGCAGACGGTAGCCTTCCGCCTGTGCCGGACGATGAGCCGACACCGAGCCCAGTTCAGTTGCCGTGGAGTCAGATCCCGAAATTTGTTCCTGGTGTGACAAATGTCCAAGAGTATTCTCAGAAGCTTCAGTTTTTAGCATCGCTGTGGCCTGTGGAACATTTGGACCAGTTAGCACCTCGTGCAGCCCTTCTCATAGAAGGCACAGCGTTCAAGAAGATTGCAAAGATTTCCCCGGCCAAGTTGAAAGTGAAAACAACAGATGGTGTGGCCACTTTGGTCGAAGCCATTGGAGGGTCTTGGGGTTCAACCGAATTGGAAGAACGTTATGAATACTTTGAGAAGTCTCTGTATGGAACAACTCAGAGGAATGACGAGAGCCATGATTCTTTCCTGGCCCGCATGGAGGCCAACTTCACTGAACTTTTGTCGCGTCACACGACACTGGAAGAAGTGCAAGCATATGTCCTGCTCAGGCAATCAACTCTCAGCGCAGAAGATAAAAAGAGAATTCTCCTTGAACACGAGGGTGAACTCAAGTACAAGCCAGTGGTGAAATCGTTTCGTTTGCTGGGCAGCCGCTTTTTCAATGAATTTCAGACCGGAAGAACCAATCAGCGAACCAAAGTGTACGATGCCAATTTTCTGGATACTTCGGAATCTCATGATGCAGCTTCCTCACATGATGCTGGAACCTATGAAAGAGCGTATTTCACCCATGCTAGTTCTGATGATGCCGAGCCAGAGCTGGATCAAGAGTTCATAGATGCCTTGGTGGCCCAGGACGATGCAGATGCCATGACCGTGGCCACCTTCGAAGGCGAGTTCGAGGAGTTCTTGCAGGACACCCCGGAGATGTTTGAGGCCTTGACCACCTACATCGAGGCGCGATCCAAGTTGATTGAAAAGAAGAAATCAAGGGGATTTTGGCCTGTTAAGGGAAAGAATAAACATGGCAAAGGCAAGGGTAAGGGCTTTGGAAAAAGATCCAAAGACCGTGATGCATTGCTTCAGAAGATTGCTCGTAGCCACTGCCGCCGCTGCGGTGCCCTTGGGCACTGGAAAGCGGAATGTCCGTTAGCTAGTGGTGCCGAGAAGTCCAATGCCCCGCCTTCGACAGCATCAGCCAATGTGGTGATGGATGAACGTCCTCAGGAGGTTTTTGCCACTGCAGGTGATGTCAATGAGGTGTTTTCCGAAGATGATGATGAAGCATACGTGATGCCCTCCGTTGAAACCAGTTTGCAGTTCAGGTCATGTCATGCCGAGTGTTTCGTGTTGACTCATGAGTGCAAGAGCCTAGGTATCAACAATTTGAGCCAACGCATGTCCAGTTTCAATTCCAAGAGGGTCCAAGGTTTCTCTAAGAAGTCCCAAGATACACATGCTCCGACAGAATCCAAGAGATTTCAAACGCTGCCTAGGAAAGCCACTGATGACTCTTCATCAGACCAAGCTCCTGTGGCCAGCCGGTCATGTCGTTTTTCTGAGACTTTTGCATCCGAGCAGGTGTACAGTAGCCTAGAGACCTTCTGCACTCATGCGATCTTAGATACTGGAGCAAGCCGTTGTATCATAGGAGACCGCACTTTGAAGAGGCTGCAGAAATCTCTTCCAACAGAGATTAGTGACCGTTTTCGCAAGCAAGACAGCCAGGTGAAGTTTCGTTTTGGAAACAATCAGTCACTGACCAGCATGTATGCCATTCAGATACCATTGAAGCACAAGGAACAGAAGAAACTGTGGCTGTCCGTAGAAGTGGTTCCCGGAGCCACCCCATTTCTTTTTTCCAAGAAAGCTTTCAAGATGCTGCATGGCTCGCTGGACTCTCGAACAGATCAATGCTTCATGCGAAAAGTGCAAGAGGGTCCCATCAAGCTTGTGACCAGCCCAACAGGTCTGTATCTCATCAACATGATCGACATTTGTGTTCGAAGTGAAACTGCACTGTTCCAAGAGCCTGCCAATGACATTCCTGTCAACTCAGTTCCGGAAATACCTAATGGGGATAGATTAGGCTATGAAAACCATAAAAATAGCATAATGGGTAAGACTGAAGGGGTTTTACAGTCTCAAAAGCAACACAAATGTGGACCCAGGTTCCTGCGAAACAGAAGTTTTCGCTCAAGTGACTCGCAGCCTGACCTGAATCGTGCTTCCGAGCCCCGTGATTCTCATGCCGCCCATGGTCAGCATGCTCAAGACGATTGCCGAGGCCATCATTCACCTGCTGACCTTGCTCCTTCAGATCTTTGTGCATCAGTTGGAAAAGCAAGAAGTGATCACCGAGACGGAGATCGAAACAGATCCCCAGATCTATGGACAACTGCAAGAGATGATGAACCAAATCAATATGCAGAAGACGGCATTGGAGAATCTCAAGGACGAGCTCATGGTCCAAAAGAAGCCCAACGAACGCAAGAATCGTGGACCCACCATGGGAGCAGGTCCAGGTGCTTCCGCCGGAAGTTAAACAGTGCTGATGTCTCTGCCTCCGAACACGTTGAACCAGCGCCGGGGAAAAGCTCCCTCGGTCGTGTCTCATGCGGCCAGCTGGGAAGAGATCGAGGAGATCGAGGAGGTGGTGATTCAACAAAACATCCAGATGACCCCAGTGAACGAGCCCAACAATCGTGGAGCTCCACCAGTTCCCACGATGCCACTTCCGGGAAATTTGACTCTGGAAGAATGGGGGAGCAATGTGATCTCTTTTGGGCGAAAGCACAAGGGGAAGTCCTTCGAAGCAGTCATGCGCCAGGACCCCGGGTACTTCCACTGGAGCCTAGCTCGGTACTCGAGCCTGATGCCGGAGCAGCAAGACTTCGTTCGGTTTGGACAGCTCTGGATGACGAGAGGCGATCTATGATTTCATCACCTGAGGCTCAGCAGTTCCGTACAGAAGTTCTAGCAGCTCAAAAGGATCTTCAGACCAATGCAACTGTCAGGAAACACAGTCCAATTTCCCAACAAATTGAACAATCCATTTATCAATTGGAAGATTCATTGATCAATCATGTCCAATCCCACAGCAACAATCCTAGAACCTTTCTTTTGGAAATCTATGCCAATCAGAATAGCCCACTTACTGAAGCAGTTCAAAGACTTGGTTACAAAGCTGTACGCTTTACCAAAGAAGATGGGGATTTGGCTACGTTCTCCGGCCGTCAGAAACTGTGGGGTCTGATTGAAAAGCTGCAGCCAGAGCATATATGGATGGCACCTGAATGCGGACCATGGAGTGGATGGAATCGTCTTAACATGGGTAAGAGTTCATTCATGTTTGATTCGATTTCTCAGAAACAAGAGATACAAATGCCTCATGTCCACTTGTGTCGAAGAATTTGTGCATATCAAGTCCGCATGGGACGCCACTTCCATCTAGAGCAGCCGGCAGGTTCCAGCTTGATCCAGTTGGATGCCTTTGCTTTTGTCCGACAACATACTGTGGCAGCTCGTTTTGACATGTGCCGTTTTGGTTTGCGCATCCCAAAGACCAATCGATTCCTCAGGAAAAAGAGCCAAGTTCTAACAACGTCACGACAGTTGTTTCATGAATTGAATGGTATTTTGTGTGCAAATCAACACCCTCATCAACGTATTGAGGGCAGTGTCAGTATCAACGGCCAGAGACAGAGACTGACCAGTTTCTGTGCGACATATTGTCAGGGTTTTGCCAAGATGGTGGCCGGAAAGCTCTGTAAGCTTTACCATACCATGGTAGGTGCTGATGAACATGCCATGGTTTTTGATGATGAAAATGAAGAAAGACCCAAGAAACGATTCAGAACGACCGGAAGGGAATCCAGGAAGAGAAAATCCAGTCCGATTGACTCGGAACCTATTGTTACCAATGACAAACCAGACAACTTGCCCGTTGGAGAATGTGAGACTTCCGACCATCCTCAAAGGGATCCGAATCCCGATGTTTCCAGGCCAGAAGTTCCTCCACCAGCATGTTCATCGTCCGAACGTTGGCAAGCTGTGTTTGAGGAAGCTCAGACTTTTGCACCACGAGTAGGTAACACCCGATGCCCTGCAGATTCAACCGCATGGAGCCGAGCCCAATCCATATTGGAGACCTCCATGAAGATCACAGACATGTTTGTATGCAGGGGTACGGAACGTTTTCAGGTACCACTTCAAGCTCCAGCATCCCATCAGTTTCCCTTGCGATATACTGTTTGTTTGCATCGCGAAACTTCGGCCATCCATGACCTCGGTTTAGAAAATTGGCATGAAAGCACTCGAGCTCAACGCATCCGAAAGTGTGTCCCATGCAAGTTAATCATAACCATGTTTGGATGTTCTCCAGAGATTGAATCTGCTCCCGCAAGAGAAACGGCCAATGATGCTGAGAAGCCACTGGTTCCGTCAGAACCGCCCACAGCAGTTCGAGCATCCGGTAGCCAAGGGTTGCCAGTTGCAGTTCATGAGCGTACCAGTAACATTCCATGTGAAGGTTGGGCACCACCTCCAATACCACTACATGGACCCAAGTTCAGGTTATTAAACGCCCAGGAGAAACAAGACCTAGTGAAGTTACACAAGAACCTGGGTCATCCAGATCCATTGAGATTAGCCCACCATCTCAAAGAAGCCGGAGCCCATGAACATGTGATTGAAGCTGCCAAGGAATATGTTTGCGATGCATGCGTGGAAACCTCCAAATTCCGACATCAAAGACCAGCCAAACTTCATGATCCCAAAGAGTTCAATGAGTTATTGGGAATTGATGGTTTTTACTGGACGGGTAGGGGCGGATTTCAAGTTATGGTATTTCACTGCATAGATGAAGCGTCGCTCTTCCACCTAGGACGTAGGTTACAAAATCGTCATCTTGAACATGTAGTGCCTGTCTTCAAGGACATGTGGATGTCATGGGCCGGTCAACCGACCGGCATTTATTCTGACCCAGCTGGGGAATTTCGTGCTGGACACTGGCTTGAATTCTTGCAACAGCAGAACGTAGAGTCACGCTTGTCCACTGAAGCATGGCAGAAGGGACGCATAGAAAGACATGGTCAAATTGTCAAGAACATGCTGGACCGTTTTGACCAAGAGAAGAAAATTGAAGATATCCAGGAATTTGACCAAGTCCTTCAATCTTGCTTCCAAGCCAAGAATGCCCTAGCTCGTCACCAAGGTTTCTCTCCAGAACAAATTGTTTTAGGAAAAGCCACGAAAGTGTCAGCGTCACTTACTTCAGATGAGCATGCGTCAGCCCATAGCCTGGCTGACGGTTCCGATCTGGAAAGTGAAATTTTCCGTAGAAACCTTGACATCCGTTCCAGAGCGAGACGCATGTTTGTGCTTGCCGACAATGACTCGGCGATTCGCAGAGCTCTGCTTCGCAAGTCACAACCACACCCAGGAAACTATGAAATAGGTCAGTTGGTACTCTACTGGAAGAAGAAAAATACCACAGGAAGACGTGAAACTGGACGCTGGCATGGGCCTGCAAGGGTAGTTTGTCAAGATGGTTCAACTACAATCTGGGTGGCACATGGTGACCGACTGTTGCGATGTTCCCCTGAGAGCTTACGCCCTGCGTCACTGAGAGAATGGCAGAATGCGTCAGAGTCCTTAGACCACCGTGTGCATAGTTTTCAGAATCCTCAAGGTGAACAAACAGGTACCTTGGAAAATAGACCTCATGTCAATGAAAGTTCCAATCAGGATGAGATGTACACGCCTGGTACTCCGGTAGACAGTCCTGAAGTTCCCATCAGTAGCCAAGCCAGTATTCAGCCAGAAAGTGAACTGTTTCCTGAACCCATCACTTCCAATTTAACCACCCCTGTTATAAGTCCCCATCAAAGTATAACTGATAACATCCCCTCAAATAACTTCCCTAACTTTGAATCCGAAAGTGCAGTCGATCTAGACGCACACGATGAAGAGCCAATTGAGACAGCCGAAACCGAAAACGTTCTGTCATGTTACGAAATCAGTGACCCACTCCATGAGAATCCGATCCATGAATGGAATGTGTTCCAACCTGGCACTGAGTCCCATGATGTATGTCTGGCTGAGGACGGTTTGCCTCTATTAGAGGAACCTATGTGTCATCATGATCATCAATGTTTCATGATGGAAGTTCCAATGTCTCGCCAGGACCTCATTCAGTGGTCTCAGTCTTCCCATCCGGAAGAGCTTGCTCAGGTGGCCTCAGCCGGAAAAAGAGCCCGAGCCGAAGTTCAGATCAAAGATTTGAATGCAGCTGAGCGAAAACTTTTCGACATTGCCAAAGAAGCCGAACTATCATGTTGGCTTCAAACAAGTGCCCTGAAACCAATGCTCCGTAAGCATTTGAATCCGGATCAAATTCTCAAGTCTAGGTGGGTCTTGACATGGAAGAATGTATGCAATGATGATGAACAAACAAATGCAAGAAAAGCCAAAGCCAGATTAGTTGTTTTGGGTTATCAAGACCCCAGACTTACTGAGGTGAACCGTGATGCACCAACTTTAACTCGGGAGGGCAGACATACCATACTCCAGCTAATTGCATCGCAGCAGTGGGTCCTCTCATCTTTTGACATCAAGACGGCCTTCCTACGTGGAAAGGCAGATAGTGACAACCCACTGGCAATGGAACCACCGAAAGAACTGCGTGAGCGTATGCAATTGCCAGATGACCAGGTATGTGCTTTGATTGGAAATGCGTACGGTAGGGTAGATGCACCGCTTCTATTTTACAAAGAGCTCTCCAGTCAACTGCAAGCTCTGGGTTTCAAGATGCATCCGTTAGAACCTTGTGTGTGCTATCTGGAATCTTGGAAGAATGGACAAAGAGTTTTGCATGGGGCTCTAGGTACTCATGTGGATGATGGCATATGTGGTGGTGACTCATGGTTTCATTCACGTTTAGAATTGCTTCGTCAGAAATTACCTTTCGGTTCATACAAGCAAAGAAAATTCGTGTTTACTGGAATCCAGTTGGAACAATTGCCAGACTTCAGTATCAGAGCAAACCAAGCAGAATATATCAAGGCGATCCCCCACCTAGAGATTGGCAAACACAGACGAAATCTGTCACAAGATCCTATTTCCGAAAAAGAGATGTCCAACTTGAGAGGCCTTATCGGCAGTTTGCAATACGCCACCACCAACACCAGACCTGATGTGGCGGCAAAGCTTGGAGAAATTCAAGTTCAGTTGTCAAGACCTACAGTCTCGACCCTGATGGAAGCCAATAAGGTTTTGCGTGAGGCCCAGCAAACTTGTGACGTGGGATTGTGTTTTAGATCCATTTCTCCCCAAAATCTCACACACGTTGTGTTTGGAGACGCGTCCTTTGCCAGCCCAAAACAATTAGCATCTTTTCAAGGAACTCTTGTATTTGCTACAACGCCGGATCTCCAAGATAATAAGAGGGCCCCCATTAGTCCTTTATCATGGTCATCCAAGAAAATCTCCAGGGTCGTAAGATCAACATTGTCAGCTGAAGCCTTCTCCATGTCACGTAGCGTAGACAAGATGGGATGGTGCCGCCTGCTGTGGGGCACACTGATCATTCCTGAGTTCCAATGGAGAAGCCCGCCTGATGCATTTTGTCAGATGCATGCTGCAGTAGTAGTTACAGATTGCAAGTCCCTGTATGATTTGGTAAGCCGCCGAGCGATGCCGTCATGCGAAGAGTATCGCACAACATTAGAAGTTCTTCTTATTAAGGAAAGGTGCATGGAACATTGTTTCTTCAGGTGGATTCCGACTTCACTGCAACTGGCCGATCCTTTAACTAAGAATATGGACTCATCGCTTCTACGTGCGGTACTGGAACAAGGGGCCTTTCAATTGTTTGACGAGGCAGCAAGTCTTCAAACAAATGCACACAGGAAACAAGCGCTGCAATGGTTGAAGGAATCACATCAAAAATAAAGTTTTGGGAGTGTGATTTCGGGTATAACTATGCCTTGATGTGATGTTTACACCTCCTGTCAGCTTGTGGTGAGATAACCATTTGCTTCGCTGGGTACCTTTGTGGTTCAGGCGATTCGAGGAGGGTAGGGCTGTGGATCTAGGTCGTTGGACGGCCATGGAGCCTTGAGTGTGTCCAAAAGGGGGCGCTGCGTGATTTGGTGGTGCAGGGCATCCACTTACCTTATTTCATTTGGCAGGGCCATTTCAACATTTGGATTCATTTGGAACTGACAGGGTCAGCTTTTCTATTTTGGTGAATTCCTCCGCTACCAGCTGTGTCATTCACACATGGGTTGCAAGGTGCAAATGTATCCTGTTTTGTCACTGCAAACCTGAACGCATCTTTGTGATCTTGCCTGAAACTATTGTGCGTCGCAACCCCGTTTGCATTTTGGTTTGGCGCATGATGCGCATGCATGACGGGCATAAAAACATTGATTGACTTTCGTTACAAAGAGCAGGATTACCAAGCAGCATTTGTTTACTTAAGCCATCGATGGGACTGAGACATTCAGTTTGGCGACTTGATCCACACAGTTTTTCTGTGAGCAGACTACATTACTACATCTCAGGATGACACTTGCATCATTTGAAAATGTGATGATCGGTAGTACACCCATGGAAATACAATGAAATGTAATGAAATCATGAAATACAATGAAATATCTGGATATGCGCGCACATGGTAAAAGCAATTATGTAAATGATCAAAATAATGGTGGCTAATCAACGCACCTTAGGAATTGAAACTTCACAGACGTGAGCAGCTCCAGCGGTCTTCGGCACTTGATGAAGTATGGGCAGTGCAGCTGCCTCTGCGCGACGCCTTGCAGGTAGCACCAGCTATATACTCAGATGCAAAGTGATGTATTTTGGTGACCTGGAAAATGCCCAGCGTTGCAATGTTTGTTCATATTGAAATTTTCAAATTTGCACTGCTTCCGACGCACAAGTAGAAGCTAAGCAGGTACTCGCAGTGCACCATGGCATGGAATGGCATGGTTTAAGCAACGGAACGGAAAAGAGGTACATTTATATTGATTTATAGGAATGTGATGGATTGGTTTGAGCTTGGGTTTGCTAACATGCAGTTGTTGGATAGGATGGATAGGCTTGCTTCAATCACTGTGACCGTGAGCAATTCAGCTCCCTGAAGCTTGAAGCCCCTGGATTTGTCCGTTCCAACAAGACACAGCTATAGCAGCTATTGGCTATTGGGCTTCCAAACAGAAGGGATCCCTTGACTTCTTGACAGTACTGGCAGTACTTGTACTCCCCGCATTCTCCGTTTCAAAACACACCGCAGAAAAGGAAAGAAGGACGCATTGCATCAAACTACGGGAGCAGTATAATTATTTGGAAGGTGTTTGTAGGATGCTGTTGAAACAGTCACGGCGGGTAGGATGGTGATTCGAGTCAAATTGACTTGTCGCACAATGTAAAAGCATGCCCGAGCATGCAATGCACGTTCCACACATAGCAGGGCACTTGTCCGCACAAGAGAACCTTTGCCATCCTTTGCCTTTGTTATGCTGACATGCAGTGTGCTTGTCATTCCCGCTGCATAGACTTATATTCTACTCTCATCACTGATGAGGCCCGACGATGAAAGATCCCACTCACAACATCGAAATCTTTGATCAAATCACGTGCCTTGTCTATTTCAAGGTGTCTTGCTTTCTGTGAGCCGAGGTGTCCGGGGTGGCGTTCTGTGCGACGATCTTGAGTTGCAGGCCTTTGTTCGGAGCTGCTCATGGCAGTGTTTTTGCGCTTCAAAAAATAATGAGAAAGTTGAAACCACCTAAAATTGCCTAAAATCACTTCACTTTAAACTTCCAACAATTTAAAATCATCACTTTCGCATGGTGGACAGGAACTACTCAAAGGCTGGGAGCGGCTGGGCGTCAGCTTCTCTGGGGCCATCCTGCAAGCAGAGCATAAAGAGACTGTCAAAGAATATGTCGCTTGACAGCATGAAATATTCGAATTGCCTACTATTATCTATTGTACATATTATGGGTTTATTTATTGATTGATTGATTTATATATATATTATAACTTATAACTATATAATTATATGATATATACTACTGTAATATGATCATTATTATTGATTATACATGTAATAATATACAGTATAGTATGCTGTATACTATTGTTGATGGACCTCAGTCAGTCTGCAATGGTATAGAAACGCAGAAAGTTTCTAGTCAAATCACGTCGAATTATGTCAAGCCATCCTGCCAAGGACATGAATCACGATGCCTGGACAGCGACTGACACGATCTTGGGGGAGAATCAGCTGGTCATCAAAACAACAGGTGAGAGGGAGCCTTGCTGCTTGCTGTGATTTCAAGAGCACCGCAAGGCCCAATGCACATTTGCATTTAGTGTGCTTATATATGCTTATGTGTGCATGCAAGGTGATGGTTTGCTCACCCTACGTCTATGTGAGAGTGCTGGGTTCAAGTGGGAACACATCGGCACGTACAGGTTTCATGCTCAGATTGCGTGGTTTAGATTGGTTTAGTGCAATATCAATGCATATCACGCAAGCCTTGCACTTGCGCACCTTTGATTGAGGCTGGGTGGAAAGGGCAAGGACTGTTTAGTTTGTTTAGCAGGGTTGTTTGGACAAGTTGAATCTGGTTCTGAAGATGCGAAACACAGCTACACAGAACGTCCGATTTGCCAAGTTGCAAGGACGGACAGAGCATGCTGAAAGTTGTGGATTCAAGCACCAAGGCACCAAAGTGTCGTGTTTCAACTTTTTGCTTGGTAGCTTGGAATTCATGGTCGTGCATGCGGCTAGACTTTGTGCCTCAGGGCTTTGCAGTTGACGACCTACGCTACGCTCTGGAACAGCTGAGATATGTGAAGTATGGAAAAGCTTCAGCACTTTGACTGCAGTGTCATCAGCGAGTGCTGTTGATGTTGCTAGCACTTTCCCACGGTGAGCCAGCCATGAAAACGGATGCACACGCAGCCTTGATTGCATGGTGCTGATGCAACGTGCAGGGCTGTATCTCCTATCAAGAGTTTGCCTTGAGACTTTTTGAGACACTGGCAGGATGGCTCCTTAGCACCACTGCGTTCTGGGAAATATGGCAAAATGTTTAAACATGTTCAAACAGTAAGGCCTTTTAAATTGCAAGCCTTGTGCAGAAAACGTGCAAGAGTTGCGTCAAGATGCTCAATGACACGCAGATACCATTCTGCAGATGTCAGATTTCATCACATATGCCTCAACAGGTCGGCCTTGCGAGGGCCAGAGAGACTTGGATCCTCTGAAGGCAAGATTTTTGTCACTGTTTTCCTATGTTTCCCTATGTTTCAATGCCCAAAGTGTTCAGCTTTTATGTTGGCTGACAGATGCTGTCACTTGCGCACTCCAGGGCGTGGAGCATGGGGTCAACAAGCCCAGTAAACCAGCTTCTACGAACACGGGCTGGAATTGGCAATCAGGTGTGGCGATATGGTGGTGTCATAAAGTGGGGGATCCCCGAAATCATGGGTTTCAATACTCAAACCGTTCAATTTTGGATACCCCCATTTGATGAAACCTCTACAATTATGATATCAATTATGTGGCGATGCATGTGGCAAGTCGCTTGAATCTTCGCTTTGCAAGACTTGATTGAGATGCAAATCATCCTTCGTTGCTGTACCATTAGGTGCTTGAGTGCCTTTCGTCGCCTTCCAGCCTTGGGATGCATGTTGTCACAATTGCGGCAGTCAAAGACTCCGTAATCTGAAAAAGGTGAAGGCAGAATGGCAAAGGCTCAAAATGATTTGCCATTAAAAATATTTAAAAAATGTACATGACACATCAGTGTAATGATGTATAATGTGTGTAGGCAGATTTAGATGTTCCCAACAGCAGTGCCTGTCAATGTGTGATGGGTGTGAATTGTTTATCGGCCCTGAAATTGGATCCATTGGAACGCTGGAACCATTCGAACCTCAGAACCCTGCAACCTTTTTGATTTGATTTTGATATATCGTTACCTTATCTTGGAAAGATTGTCACGAAAGCTAGCTGTGCTAGCTGAAGTTGCTCTTGCTTTAGCAAGGAATAGGCAGGCACCAGGACCGTTGGAAACCCTGAAACTTTCAAGTTAGACCCCCCCTGGCAGGCCCAGGTTCGATCCCCCCCTGGTCCCCCCCGAGCCCCTCCCCAGAGGAGATTTCAGGCTGGTAGAGGGTCATCATCCTCATTTTCATCTTCATCCTCACCCCTCATCATCCTCATCATCCTCTTCGTCCTCCTCATCGTTGATCAGCATGCAGCATCCTCATCCCCTGGTCCCGCTGGGCCATTGGTTTCCTGCAGGTATAGGGTCGTCCTCTTCAGTATTTTATCTTCAGGACGTCATGTTCAATAAACCAACCATCAACTCTATAAAATCATCATCGGAAACTTGCCGGCTTCCAAATGATCATGATTATCTTCCTCCTCCTCATCCTCCTCGTCGTCATCATCATCACCATCATCATCATCATCATCAACAACAACATCCTCATCATCATCCTCATTCTCATCCTCATCCTCATCCTCATCATCTTCCTCCTCCTCCTCATCATCAACAACATCATTATCCTCATCATCATCCTTATCATCATACATACGTTGCATTGTCTTGAACATATTTATGCAGATTCCGGCTTCCATTCGGGGGGCATATTTTTGTTGATATTGCGTTTCTTTTGCTTACAACACTTGGTGAGAGACGATTACCCCTTTGGGGGGTTTTCGCTTGCTGGACCCAATAGATTTTGTAACCCTACAACAGCCCTGCTCATCATAATCATCATCGTCATTTTCATCTTCATTTTCATCCTCAGCACCCTCATCATGCTCATCATCCCCATCATCCTCATCATCCTCATCATCCTCTTCGTCCTCATCATCGTCGTCATCAA